GCCGCTGCAGCCGGCGCACTGCACTGATCCGAAGGCAGGAGCCAGGTGCTTCTCCTGGTCTCCCATGGGGTGCAGGGCCCAAGTACTTGGGCCATCCTCCACTGCACTCCCTGGCCACAGCAGAGAGCTGGCCTGGAAGAGGGGCAACCGGGACAGAATCCGGCACCCCGACCGGGACTAGAACCCGGTGTGCCGGCGCTGCAAGGTGGAGGATTAGCCTAGTGAGCCACGGCGCTGGCCTCTAGACATTTTTTTCAGCCATAAATATTTTCCTCATTATTAGCCTTACTGTGTTTCAGGTATTTGGATGAATGATCTTTAACAACTGCCTTTGTTGGTTAGAATGTTTTATCATCCTTTAGTAACACTGCGCCCTCTTTGCTCCTACTCTGTGCCTTCAAGTCTGTCATCCTCTTCCCTGAAATATTCTTCATGTATCTCCTGGCTAACCTCAGCATTGCTTCAAGAGTAAACTTGAACATTGTTTCATCCGAGAGACCTTGTCCATTTGGTCCTTCCTTGGATTTTGTTGGACCCTCCTTTGAGTTCCCACACTGATTGTCTTAGCACAGTGTATTCCATACTCTGGTAGACAGCTGATGCACCTGTCTCTACTTTTGTCTGCAAGCTTCGCCGTGATGAGAACTCTTTCTCACCCTTGTGTTCCTGGCATTCACCATAGTGTCCAATAAAGCACAAACCAGTAAATAAATGCATAGTCCTAGCATCTTACTGAGTCACATCTTTGAAACCATGTCTGTTGTAGGGAAATAACTCCTTTACTGTAACTTGAGAATCTCAACTCGAATGCTCACTCTTCAGCAGGAACTTCCCTGCTCCACTCAAGAAGTCTTCCAGAGTTCTTGGAATCATGAAGTTTGGAGGAAACATGAGAACAAATCCTCCAGACCATGTTTTGTCTTCCTTGACATTTATATCTTGTGTGTGATCAGAAATTTGTGTCTCAGGTGAACTACTCATGATAATGAGCAATTCTTAGTCCAGTACTGATTGAACACCCTTATTTAAGAAGGTCACAGTGCTTTACATTATTTAAATTGTCTTCAGAACATACCTGAAGTAGGGTCACCACCCATTCAGAATTCATCAAATAGCCTGACAGTCCCAGCCTCTGAAGTTCATCCTCCACCCTCTCCTCCCTCTCACCCCCCGAGCCAAAGGAAGACCAAAACAAAGTTCAAGTCTGCAGTGGCCGTGGCTGCTTTATTACTGTTGCTATTACTTGCTCAAGCCTTCTGGGTAATCTTAGGTCAGAAACTGAGTGGCTGTAAGAAACCGAAGAGCGAAGTCTTAGTGTAATACTAGTCATAAAGCTACAGAGATAAAGTATTATGGGAGTTCAGAGGAAGGAAAGATTACTCTCACCTAGGGGGATATTGCAAATGCCTTTGAAGGAATGTTTGTCTAGCTGCTTCAGTGAGAGAAACCTGCAGTTCTTAATGGAAGACTCATATGTCCAAGTCCCGTGTTGGACATTTTCTGGAAAAGCAGTATGGGAGAGGGGAGTCATCACTGGAATAAAGAGTTGGGAGATTACATTTTTGATCCCCGTTGTGTCATTAGCCAGCTGTGTGTCCTTAGTGAAGTCACGTATTCCCTTTAGACCTATAAACTGAGAGCACTGGACTGTGTGATTCCTAGGGCCATTACAGCTTCAGGGTGCAATGATTCAGCCTTTGCCACTCCCAGACCTCCCCAAGTCCTGCACTGCCCTTCAGAGATGGAGCCGAAAACCCACAGCACTCTGTGCTCCTCTTTGGATGTTTGTCAACATTGTCTAAGTCTGTGTGTGTTAACCATCATGACACGTCGGAAGCTTCTGAGAACAAGGCTGCATTTTTTCAGTTTTTGTGTCCCATACATCATGCTGGTTCACTTGTCTCCTTTCTCCTTTGTCTTTAGCCTGTGAATCCTGTTTGTCTCTCTTCAGCATATTAGCCCATACAAATCTTTCCCAGCTTGAAAGAAAAGGTGCCTCCTCCTATCCTCCATCCCTGTCCTTTGTTGCTGTCCTCCATGGAGTTTCCTAACTTTTCACACTTCATTGTTAATCTTCTGGAAATTGTGGTTTACATTTGTCATGTCCACCATTATCCTTTCCATTAATCTTTCACTACCTATAGTCCAGCGTTCTGGCCTCTACCACTCATTGCCAAATCCACAAAGATACTCGGGCATTTTAATTGCAGCCTCTAGAAGCACTTGGCTGTGAGCCCTTCTATATTCTTGAAAGTGTCCGGTCGTGGTGCCTGTGCAGCCAGTTGCTCCAGCTTCTTTGCCTGCTTCTTTGACTGTCCTCTGTCCTCCGTAGAATCCTAGTTTCTGAAACTCTGCTTGGTTCTGTCGTTGGTTTTGACTCTTTTCACTTTGTTCTTCCCCTGACAGCTTCATCCAAGCCTGTGGCTTCCACCGTGACCCCCAGCCCTGGCTCCTTTCGCAAGCATCACATCCCCAGCTTCTCTCTACAGCTCACAGCCACATCAAGTTTAGTCTCGGTAGCCTCCCCTACAACTGTTTTCTCATGGTTTCCCTATCTGGGCAATGACCCCACAATCAACCTAGTTGTCAAGGTATGAATTTCTCCTTTCCCTCATCCCCAGGAATTTAGGACCTTCATTGATGTCACCTGGACTACTTAACTTTGATTCTTATTAATTTGGGAGAAAGAACAAACGAGCAATCTCATCTACTGGTTCACTCCTCAGATGCCTGCACTAGCTAGGGCTGGGCTAACTTGAAGCTGGGGAACTCAATCTGGGTCTCCCATATGAGCATTAGGGACCCAAACTACTTCAGCCACCACCTGTTGCCTCCTAACGTCTGCATTAGCAAGCACTGGTTCAGAGTGAAGCAGCTGGGACTCAAACCAGGGACTCAACATGGGATGCAGGCACCCAAACAGCATCTTAACCACAAGGCCAAATGCCTGCCCCTCACCTGGACTCTGCAATAGCCACTTAACTGTCCTCCTGCCTCCTCCATCTCTCCTAAAAGCTGTCCTCCATGCTGTAGCCAAAACTGAGTTTACTAGAATATCGATTCATTCCATCTTCATTGCCTTTGCAACTTCACTCACAAGACCCTCTAAGAACTGATGTTGACTATCTTTGAAGCTTTTTCTCGTGGTCTTCCCTGCTTCCATTTTTAACTCCTTGCAAGAAGAAACTGTACTCTCTCTCACCATTGTATCTTTATGTGGGATAACCCCACAGGCTTTATATTTCATTCTCCTCTTCCTCTGCTGTCAAGGTTGAAGACTACAGCCACGTGTTACCCTTTCTTGGAAACTTGCTTTCTTTGCCAAGCAGAATTAAATACCTGTGTCTCTGGACTTTTGTATATTTTGTCTGCCTGTCCCCTAGCACTTGGCTGTGTTGCCTGGCTAGCTGTTCCCTCGCCAGCCCAGGGGCACCTGAAAGGGAGGAATTCCTTCACTTAAGCTTTGTTCCCAGTCTTTAACCTGGAACCTGACACACTAGCTGTATCTTCCGTATTTACTGAAAATGTAGACAGATGCATGCTGTAAGAATATCTTATTCAAAGAGTCTGCCTGTCTGCTCCATTTGTTTTATTTTTTTTTGCTGTAGAATAGAGGCTGTGCATCCGAGATTTTCCAGTTTACCTCTGCCTGTTTTTTAAGGTATAAATTCCGCTCTTCTGAAAAGACTGATCTACTTGTAGTCTGTGCTCCACAAGTTGAATATATTAATGAATAAAGAAAGGATACTAGTAGACTCCACATCTAGAGGCCTAGATGCTGTGCATAAGATCATCTCACCTTTTAGGAGAAACCAATGGCTCTGAATTATTTAGGCTGTTTCTCTCATCGGTTCTTCCTCTTTGCTCCTCCTCTTGTGTTTTGAGGACCCTAGCAGGCATGAGGTGTACATAGGCTGCCTGATAATAATTTCCTATCATATAAGTGCCAGAGCTGAGTACATTCCCCTTTCATTTAAATTAGATAAAACCCAGAGCTGTGGCTTGCAAGTGATGGAAGTCCACTGGGGAAATTAAAGGTTCAGAGAGAACGGGACCCATTATAATAAAAGCATTTGCACAGCCACTGATTGCATCCACCCTGTGGCTTCTGTGTTCCTTGGGGTATGATGAAATATGAAGCAAGAGGGCCTTTGAAAGTAGTTTGAGGAATTTATTTTAATTGGAATTGGTAGCGTTCTGTGCTTGGAGTAAACTGGATCATGCACAGTGGTGCGATCAGCACCGTGTGAGGAACCGTGGAGCATCCAGGTCTGCTGTGATGCAGGACCTCGGCCCCCCTGCATCTGCACATGTACTGAACGTGATGAAAAAGTCGTTCTCCCTCCTACCCCACATCCGCTCACTCCTGTCTTCCTTACGTGCTATGGCTCTGCATTCCTATTCTGTGAAAAAACATTAGGCTCTGGCACCTGGATGGATCAACTACTAGACTTTCAAATTACTCAGAACCATGAGACATAAGAAGAATCCACATAGCAGACATGTTGAGTGGCCTGAAGAGAGACAAAGACAAACCCACATTTAAATTTGTGTTAATATAATAACAATAACCAAATGTTTTCAGCACATCCTTGACTCTGCTTATGATGCATTTTCTCTTAATTCTCACAACCCTGCTATGCAAGTGTTAGTTCTATCTCAGAAGTCTGAAGTTTGGAGAAGACACCCAAGGTCACAGGTAGCTGTAGTGAGTGGAGGAGCCAGAATTACCTGTCAGAGAGTGGCAGAATCGGATTTGAAACTCAAGTCTGACCCTGAAGCCAGACTTTCAAATATTGTGTTACCCTGCCTTGTGACTTACAAGGCTTAGATTTCTGTACATAAACTACAGGTATCCTTTTTAAGTTAATTAATCTTATCTGGGAGAAGTCTTACGTGGTCTTATAACAAAAAACACTCAAGTTGAATAGTGTCAGATTTCTGAGACTGTTTTTACAGTTGTTCAATCTGCCTTTACTTTCTCACTTTTTTATTTTTAGATGCATCATCCCATTCAGATGAAACCTGCAGATAGTGAAAAGTCAAACGGTAGGTGGTAACCAACTGTCTCTTTTAATAATGTGTGCTTCTTTACATTAAAAACTCAGATGGGGGAGGGAGGAGCCAGCCGCAGCTGCTTATTATCTGAAAGGCAGAGAGCTCTGCTCCAGGACCTTTCCACTGTGGTCAGCACGTCTGGAGAAATGCACGTCCCACTCCCCTGCCTCATTTCTGTGAGAAATGTTACAGGGAACAGTTTTCCGTGTCCCTGCATTTGGGACTTGCCCTCTATAGTGACCGTATAGCATGTGGCTGCCATCTCCTCCAGCAGAGCAACACAGGGACACCTGATGGGTGGGCAGAGGACATGAGCAGCAAAGGCGAAACTGGCCATTAACAATTAGGCTGTCATTTTCTTTTGCATTTCCCATTTGTTCCTCTTTGACTTGGAGGCTAGCCTGTCCTGTTGCACTGTTTTCTCAATTATACTGATGCATTTGCATCAGAATTCAGTCTCCTGATTAACGAAGTATACACTTGGTGCAAAAATATGCATTTGATGAGGTCCATGAAAGAACTGAGATTTTCCTCTCCAAGACACAAGAGGGTTGATAGCCTACATTTCTCTATCAAGTTTTTGCTTCCATTTCTGCAGACCTTCTTCCGTGCTCTGTTCTTTTAATTTACTGAAATGTATGTTAAAAGAATCGCCTACCTTCTTAGACTGCAGAGCTTCTTTGTCCCACAAGACTGACATAATCAGCACTGTTTCCTTCCAACAGGCAGTTTTGCACCTCATTAATTAGTAATCAGGGCAGAAGCCATGCACTTAGAGATCTACATATCTGCAAATGTAAATTATGATTGGGCTCCAAATCTCTCCACAAGGTTTTTTTTTTTTTTTGCTAATTGTAGTGCATCTTATTTTCTGGCTTCTCCACAGAGTAGAAAGTTTTTAAGAAAATTCCAAGTCATTGTGTCATGCTGCTAGTGCTTAGTGTATCAGAGCTTTCTTTCCTCTCTTGAGGAGTAGACACTGGTGCTTTACTCACTGTTTTCTCCTCAGTCCTATATGACTTTGTCACCAACATGGCCTGCCGCTGCATGGCTGTGAGTCCGTGCTCAGCTCTCTCCATTCCTTTGTTTGGCAGTTACTCTTTGATCACTGACTGTTCCCACCCAAGTGGGTAGGGGCTGCAGCTGCAGCAACAGATTTGAAAAAGACCATAAGAAACCATATCCCTGACTTCACGGAGCTTACATTCTGTCTACTGTATAAGTATATGATAATCTCTTTTTTTAAGGATTTATTTATTTATTTTGAAAGTCAGTTACACAGAGAGAAGGAGAGGCAGAAAGAGAGAGAGAGAGAGACAGGTCTTCCATCCACTGGTTCACTCTCCAGTTGGCCGCAACAGACGGAGCTGCGTCAGTCCAAAGCCAGGAGCCAGAAGCTTCCTCTTTCTCTCACATGGGTGCAGTGGCCCAAGGAGTTGGGCCATCCTCCACTGCCTCCTCAGGCTATAGCAGAGAGCTGGATCAGAAGTGGAGCTGCTCGGACTTCAACCACTACCCATACAGGATGCTGATGGTGGCATTACCTGCTATGCCACAGTGTTGGCCCCATATATAATAATCTCTTAAATACAGAATTTGAGTCTTCTCATTCATAAAATGAAAAAGAAAAATTGGCTGCTTCACATAGGTTAGTCTTCCCCGATGCTGACTCAAATAAGATGTTTATGACAGTCTTTGTTTTTTTTTTAAATATTTATTTATTATTTTATTTGAAAGAGTTACACAGAGAGAGGAGGAGAGGCAGAGAGAAAGAGAGGTCTTCTATCCATTGCTTCACTCCCCAATTGGCCACAACGGCCAGAGCTGTGCTGATCTGAAGCCAGGAGCTTCCCCTGGGGCCCAAACATCTGGGACATCTTCCATGGCTTTCCCAGGCGATAACAGAGAGCTGGATGGGAAGTGGAGCAACTGGGAATCAAACTGACACCCATATGGGATGCTGGCACTGTAGGCGGCAGCCTCACCTGCTACGCCACAGCGCCAGCCCCTATGACAGTCTTTGTAAGTGACAGAGCACTTCTGTAAAAAGTTGGTTTATTGTCATCACCCAGGAATCCCCCCTGGCTTTGGAGGGCTTTTGGTTGAGCCTGCCTATCTGTGTGAAAGACCAATTTCCTGTGCTGGTATCTAGAGCCCCTTTGAACCAGAGGTTCATGCTTGTAGTCTGCTCTGTTCCTCACGGTTGAGACAGAAAATGAATCTTGTGTTTGTGGAGTGAATTCTATCAGTGCAGTTCATCTCAGAACCTGTGGCCCCCAAGAACTGCTCTTTGTTCTTTCACCCATTAATTCTTTAAAAGTATGTCAGGGCAAGTGCCATGGAGTGGAAGTATGTGGCTAAGGGTTTGTCTTATATTTCTGAACCTTAGGTTGTAGTTAAGAAAATGTGGCATAGTAGAGAACTGAACTGAAAACGTGTGACCTGAGGTACCCAAATAGTTGAAGCATGAAAGGATTTCTTCTTTTGCATTTTCTGCAACATATATACATCCTGATATCAAGAATCCTTTCCACAGGCTTGCTGCCAGGAGTTCTCAGAGTGCTGAGTTGCTCTTGCTGTCCATTGTCTACCCTGGACCCTGAGGATAATGTTTCCTTTGACTCTAGGACCATAGCAACACAATGAAATTGCCATGGGTTCTCTCAATTTTTGCAAGATCTCAAAAGCCTAGGATAGGGCCCCACTATTACTAGACAAGAGAGTACCTAAAATTTGACGTTTTTAAGGAAGCATGAAGGATGAGCAGTTAAACACTATTTTGAAAAAACTAGATTTGACTCCTGACTCTGCACTTGTCAATCATTCCTTGAGCAAGTTACTTGGCAGCACTGAACCCCCACATCTTCAGCCGTGAGAAGGGCAACAGTAGGGTACCTGAGCTCCATTTGTAATGCCCATGTTAGAAAGTTGTGTGAGGATTACTAAGCTGCCTTCTGTAAAGAGCTTAGCACAACACCTGGCACATAGGAAACATCCAGTGTGCCAACTAAACAGCATAATTCCTCTAACCGGGGCATCCATTTTGGTGCGGTCCAAGTAAGGGAGGTGAATACGTCCTGCCTTGGGCTCTTCTTGCCAAAGCAGAAGTCTGCCAATAGCAATGAAAATGCCCAGGCCTCCTTGTTGAGCAAGTTCCTCCTTTGCTTTTTAGACTTGACGTTCATTTTCAGAATTTCCTGTCTGGAAACTCCCCCCCCCCCAAAAAAAAAAATACAGATGAACTGGAAACTACTTTTGAAAGGCTCTTCTTTACAGAGTTCAAGTGGAACCTCACCTCGCATAGATGTGAACAGGTTTCAAGGTTCTCTTTGGAACTGATTTAGGAATCAGAAGACGTGTATGGCCGGCGCCGCAGCTCACTAGGCTAATCCTCCGCCTGTGGCACCGGCACCCTGGGTTCTAGTCCCAGTTGGGGCACCAGATTCTGTCCCGATTGCTCCTCTTCCAGGCCATCTCTCTGCTGTGGCCTGGGAAGGCAGTGGAGGATGGCCCAAGTGCTTGGGCTCTGCACCCGCATGGGAGACCAGGAGGAGACACCTGGCTCCTGGCTTCGGATCAGCACAGTGCGCCGGCTGTAGCAGCCATTTGGGGGGTGAACCAACAGAAGGAAGACCTTTCTCTCTGTCTGTTTCTCTTTCTCACTGTCTAACTCTGCCTGTCAAAAAAAAAAAAAAAAAAGTATGATTTTCCCAAAGCAAGTGATAAAAGCTGCAACCTTTTTTTCTGATTTCACATGGCATTTTTGACAGGTAAGCATAGTTTCAGAAGCTCAAAGAGCACCAAGATTTCTTTGGCTCAGATGCTCTAAATAGCTCCTGTAGTTGTGAAAGAAGTATAACGAGCTCTAATTGCACTTTTATTGAGTTTGCTGACATTTATGGATAGCACAAAGGACTCATCACAATTAGACAGTCACTGTCTTCGCTATCAGTGTGTTCTGATTTGTAAAACTTTGATTTTTGCTGAGCAAGGAAGGGCTATTCATCATAGATTAATTAGTGATGGACAGTGAATTCCAGAACAGCAATCACCCTTTGAAGCTTTGGTCGGTGTAGAGTCTGATAGTGGGAACTCTGTAGTGAGCCCAGAAATGTTATATTGCACTTAGATGAGCCCTGCACCTCTGGATTTTACTGAACCAGCTTCCTAAATCTCCAAGGCTTCCTTGGCCATAGGCTTTGATTTAAACTGGGACCTCTACCCATTTATGCAAATTCAGTAGTATTTTATTTTCTTTCCACTTGTGCTATGCTGGGTATCCAAAAGGGGAGAAAAAACACCCACTCTGAGTAAGCAATAAAAAATGCTCTTACTTAAGGAAGAGCACGCTTGATATAAAGACCCAACTTAAAACAGAACCAAACTCCAGTTTCTTTGTTTCCTTTGTTACTGTTTTCATTGTGCAAAGTTGAGTGATAGTATAGGAATGTCATTTGAAGAAGTCTGGATTTGGGGTACTTGCATAAGCCAGCACGAACATGGTTACTGTCTTTCATGCTATATTCCATGTATGCGCTATCCAGGTTTTAATCCTCTGTTTGTAGTGGTAAAAGGTACCAGCTGTGCAAGACGGAAAATTAAAAGCAGTTACCAAAGCTGGTCTAGCAGTGAGTGATAAGGAAAGCATATAGGCTGCCTTTGGTTTTGTGTTTGGATCTCAGTGGCTAAAGCCAGTATTGACTGTTACATCGTGCTTCTTGCTGCAAGCAGGATTGTTTTACTCTGTAGACAGAATATAAAATCCATTTTGCCTTAACCCTCCAACCTCTCAGCTTGTTGGTGGTCCTTAAATCCTAGAATCCAGAAATGCTCTTTAAGCCCACTGCCTCTTTCCCAAGTCCTCCAAAACCTCCATTATCCATGTATCAAGTACAGAGCTAGCCAGTCAAGATCACTAAGTATTGTTGGACTCAGGTGAAGACCTGCAAAACCTCCATTAAACATAGGAATCACTGGGTGTGTCCATCCAGTCTCTGTCTGACTTATGGAAGATGAAGAAGTAATTTTGAAATTCAAAGTGGAGAGACTCACAGCATTGGAGGCAGTAATTAAATGCCATATGTTAGCACTAGCACATTGAAAAGTTGTTAATTAATTCAGGCAGCCCTGAATCCAGGTGTGACTTTGACAGATTGTACACCAGGGTGTTACCACAGACTCACAATTAGAGTTCTTTTTTAAAGGAAGTTTCTGTTCCCCAAACTTAAAAAAGTCACCCTTGATACTTAATAGTATTAACCCTTTCTCATTATACTGTAAATGGCCACTAGTGTGGAAACCTGTTCAGTTCCATTGCTAGTGAGGGAGACCTCAGCAGTGTGGCACTTAAGATATGAGAGTATTTTCCCCCCTTTCATCCACTGGCTGTCCTGGAGGAAAGTGACTTCCTCAAGAGGGCAGGACCTTACATTTTACTTCTTTTTTTAATTTATTTTAATTCTTGTGAAGTACCCAGCAGAATACAGTGAACATAAGTTTATTTAGGCAGTTTATCTACTTATGGACTGAGAGAAGAAGTGATATACAGCCTTTGAATATTTGGGGGAAAAATTCTTCAGTTTTGGGGGAAAAGAAATTCAAGGTAATTATGTTACTTAAAATGTTTACAAAGCTGTAGGGATTCATAAAATGGGAATCCTGGGAATAATCTTGTGAATTTAAAGTTTTCACTGGCAGACTCAAGGGAGAGAAAGGTGGCTATCATCTTCATTTTGTCATTAAAGGAAGTATGGTCCAACTGTTAGAACCACAGAAGATTGCTACTGTCCAGCTTGCTTTATGCATGTGAGTACATGCAAGCCCACACACACAGGGAAGTAAATCAACATTTTGAATAGCATATGGATGATGTGGGTTTCCATTTTTTTCTTAGTTAATACTTGTTATTTTTAAAAGAGAAAGTTCTATTCCTTCCTTCTGCCTGGCCAAATTGACCTTAAGTGACGGGTAAGCAGTCAGGATCTCTTCGTAAGCGGTTTCCATGCACTTGATATTCATCTCAGAAAAAATTTTTAGCTTTATTCAAAAGCTGCATGTTTAATTTACTGCTGCATCAGGCTGGAGCTCAAAGCCTGCCAATTATTTTAGCTAACCACCCTGATTACAGGTTTACCAGGGAAACCGAGGACCACGTGGGGATCTTTTAATTTGTTTTTGTTTAAAAGAACTAGAATCAAATTCTAAACAACAGGAAAATTTTTACTCTCAAAGATGTGACAGCCAAAGTTCCTGAGATAGGCATCCCAGAGATGGGAGGGAACGAGGAAGAAATGCAACTAGAAGTTTCCTCCTCCCTACCCTGTGCCATTCCAGTCACTTCTGCCCCTTTCCCTTTTGCTGTTCACGGGAATGCTGCAGTCCCACAGGGCCTGCCAGACCCAGATCCTCATGTGTGAAGGAGTCCAGGCCTCCCAGGGAGCCTGCAGGGATCCTAATGTTGGAGGACTATCACGTTTCAGCACAGGGGGTTGGCCTTGCCAGGGCGTCTGGTGCTTCTACAGTTCAGATGCTGGGCCAGCACTACCAGGTCTTCACTGCTTCACAGGTGATCACTTACTCTGAAGGGAGGAAAAAGACTTTAGTTGAAGTTTTCTCAGCTGTGTAAAGAAGGTCAGGTCCTCAACAGCCTCGCTGCTAGCAGTTAGAACCTCTGGTGCTTGTCACCCTTACCTAGTTTAAGGCTCAAGACACATTGACCTGTCCTGACACAGCGAGCCCTTCTGTGCAGATAAGCAGAAAACAGTGTCTGTTGGACTCAAGCAAGGTTGCTTTCCTCCATCTACCCCAAACAGGGTCCCCCTTGTACTTGACTGCTTAGTACTTTATCCCCCCATGTCACTACAGCCTACCCAGTCTCTACCTGTGCTTCCTCAAGTCCAGCTCAAATGCTCCCTGCTCCAGCAAACCTTTCTCAAACACTTTGGTGCACAATTCATAGTCTACAAGCACTGTGGCTCTGTAGTGTTCATCACGTATTCCATGGGGCCCTGGAGTTTCTCTGAGTTGTCTTAGAAGCTGTTAGAGTGTAGGTGGAGGGGATTCTGTGTACCACTTCAACAGCCATCCCAAGTGCTTAGGTGGGCTACAGCATATCACTGGGCCACCGTCTCTCCATTGCTTAGGAAAGAGAAAAGGAAAAAGAATTGAGTTGAAACCTTTGTTTAATGGATGACAAAACTGAGGTCCTAGACATCGAGGTCACACATCAGATTACTGTGGCAGCACTAGAACTAGAACTTGGGTCCCTTCATCATAACCATTGCTTTCCCCTTTGAACCTCATCTGCTTCCTCAGAACTTGTATAAAACATGTCAGAGTGAAAAGCTGGGTTTGGGACTGGGATAGCAGGCTGTGGTCTAGGATAGATCCCATAGAAGTGGACTTCAGAAACTTCATGGAAAATTGAAAACGTATTTATTTTGGTATAAAAAATTTTGAAGTCCTTGTGTTGCTGTTTCCTACTGTGTATTTTTCATGACTCTCTTGAATCTCCCTGGTGTACATGGGTTTCAAGATGCTTTTTTTACATCATAATAACTTGTTTCAGTTCCATTTTCTAGGAGGTACCCTGGTTTTTGCTGAATGGCCCTAGGCAAGTCCTTGCCAGGCTTCAGGGACACTTTTTAGGGATAGACAAAGCATTTCTCAAATCTCTGGCTTCCACTTTGGAATTCTATGACAAGGGGCCTTTAACTTAGGTTCCAGAAGCAACTGGCCCCACAATTGAACACAGATTCAAAACAAAGGTTTAACACACAAATGACTTAGGACTCTGTAGTCTCTTGTGCTACCCCCCCCCCAACTTTTATTTAATTCTAAGAAATTGATGGAAAGGAAATCATGGAAAATAAGTGGAATTTCTCTTCATGGGTATCTCTGGCATCCTAAAAAAGAGGCTCCAAAAACTGTCCTAAGGTTGTATTTCAGGCTAAATGTAGGTCACATATCCTGAGCACAAATATGGAGGTTTTGAAGAAAGTCTATGAGATCATCTGAGATAAAATTTGCCTTATCTCTCCTCCTATCAGTTCAAGGTTATAAATTGTACATCATCCTGATCCCAAAAGCGCATTTCTGTGCATCAGGAATCTTAATTGCTGGATCAGTACTGTTCCCTCTGTGTTCTTCTTTTGTCAAGGGGTTCACCCCAAGGGTAGAGAGCGTCTGAGGTGAAGCTGCAGTGGCAGCAGCCCCGCGCTCTTTGCTAGGTTGAGCTTCCTCTTTAGGTAAAGGAAGCCTGGCTGATTAGAACCAAGTGTGCAGGCTCACTGGAGCTGTATAGCCAGTGCTGTGGGAGTGAACTGCTTTACAGGCTCTCGAGATATGAGACTGTCTCTGATCCCTAGTTACTGTTAGCTGAGTTAGCGGGGACACGGCTATTTGAAACAGAGGGAGAAAAGTGTTCTTTTCCCTTGATTGCTTTGTGAAAAGTTTCATTTACTACATTAAAGTACTTCAAAAAGTTTGTAGAAAATGGAATTAAGGATGTTTATTGTGGTGCAAAAAATTTTCAAATCCATGTAGACAAGTGACATTCAAAGTAGTTCATGGAAAATGCATGTTATGAAAAAGTAGGCATGAATTTCAGTTTGTTGCACTAAAATAAAATTACCTTTTAATTCTACTTTCCCTGAACTATCTGAAGTATCCTCTATTGTTCTTCCTCTCCCGCCCTCTTTCATTATCTCTCAAGTTTTAAGAGCAGCTACAAAAAAACAAGTTAAAAATCTGTGTGCAAAGATATCTCCGTCAAATGGTAGTGTTGTGCATTTACACATGTTCTATAAAATTTGAGTAAACTCATTACTGTTAGTTCCTGGGTGGAAGAAAAGGACTCCAACAAACAGTGCCCTGTATCCTATTAGGATGTCTTAATAATAAGAACAAGCTCACAAAGAGATGAGACCTTCAGGGAGGGAGAGGCAGGATGGGGCTTAGGGGAGGAAGAAGGCGGTGGGAAGTCTAAAGAGTTAGCCATAGGACGCCTCAGTTTCACATGGCCGGGGCCAGGTTGGATGTGGTAATGAAGCATTGATTACAAGAAGAAAGATGAAATGGCCTTTGCTCATTCATTCTTTTTATCTCCTAGCCGTGGAAGACAGAAAATTGTTCATAGGAATGGTTTCGAAGAAGTGTAATGAGAATGATATCAGGGTGATGTTTTCTCCATTTGGCCAGATAGAAGAATGCCGGATTCTCCGGGGACCCGATGGGCTGAGTCGAGGTGAGTGTGCCTCTATGAAATCGCTTTCCTTAAGTGCTAATTGGAACTCTGTGTCTTAGTCAAGGTGGATGTAGGCACTGCTTACAGCACGAGGTCACCCTGTAATATGTCCCATGTGATAAAGTTATCCAACCTGAACTTTTCACCGTGGTTGAGATGAGCACTTTTTATTTCTCCGGTTGAGAAGGTCTTGCTGCCAGCATATTAGCTCAGGTTATCACTGTCTGATGGGGAGCCTGACAGGCTGCCCTATTGGTACACATCCTTTCTCAGCCTTCAACCGAAGCAGATTTAGGGGGCCAAGGAGGAGACATGAAAGATGAGAAAGGCTATTTGTTGCTTTCTTTTTGGTCTTCTGGCTTTCTGCCTGTACCTGAAAGAAATGTTATCACTTGGTTCTCTTGACAGTGACACAAAGCAAGAAAAAAAAATGCTGATGCTCACATGTAGTTCAGAGCAGATACAGATTAAGGGTAACTGGGCCCGTGTCGGAATGTTACAGATTTATTTCAAAAAAGTAAAACTCCTGGAGTCTAAGCCCAGAGAATCCTTGAAGTGACAGAAGATGACTGTGCCCTGAAGAAGACTGTAGGCTCTGCTTTGCTGGGACCCCGAGCCTTGGTGAAGCAACCATACAGAATAGCTGGAATCACTGGTCTTTTCCCACGTTCGCCTCCCGCTTTGACAAGACCACACACCCCCTTCCTTAAACTGTTCATAAAGGTGGACACTGGGTGCTCACACTTGTCTGTCACTCCAAAGTGGAAGTATTTATGTAGAACATGTCTTTTCAGTCTTTATAAGAAATCCTGACTTTCGCAACATGGCAAGGTTTTCATTGTTATTAATGTGGTTACCAGTGCAGTGTCCATGGGGCTAATTAGCAACTTAGTTTCATTCTCCATTTCTGGTTCTGGACCTTTCCTGGTCCCCGAAGCCACTTGCTGAAAGGAAAACCTAGGCGGTAAGTATCAGGGCGCACTAATTTCCACCTACTTCACTAGCTGCCAGCACCATGTGAGGAAGAACATTTGTTTTTGATTCTTAGACATGTCAGCTGCTAGAATTGAACACTCAGAGAACAAAAGTTCCACCTACATCCACCTCCAGAGCCCCAAAACAGAGGTACTCTGGAGGAAGATCAGAAGGTGATGCAACACCTTAAAATGTTTGCTTCCTGTGTTTTTCTCTGAATGTGGTTTAAAGCGGGGAGGGGCAAGATCAGTGTGTAGATCAGTTTATGCATTCGCTAACAACTCTGAAATTCTTGTGCACCTAAAAGATGTGATTCTTTAAAAACTGGACAAGATGTGATGCAGAGTGCAGTCTCTACACAGTACACCTGGCACTTGAGGCTTGGCTTATCACTGTCACCAGGGCCAACCAGAGCAGGCCCTCGTTCTAACAGACGAACAGCCTCTGGTTCCTGTGCAACCTCACAAACAGAAGGACAGTAGCACGCATACTACTCAGCACATTCAAGCCATGAGAGCTTTGAATAAACACCTGGTCATCTGATTCTGCCACATCCATTTTATTTACATACTCGCCCACTTTTGCAGACAGTAGGAGAGAGAATACCGTGGGAAAAAGCATCATGGCCAAATAAAGAATAAAATGTTTAGGAAAGACATGAGAACATTTTTGTAATCCCTTTTCTGCTGCTTATTTAATATTTACAATCATTTTTCTCTCTGTTATTTCGTTTTGATTCTCCAAGGTATAGAGCAAGAAGAAAGGACCAAAACAAGAAGACCCTTAAATTAGTCATATTGAAATTTATAGTGTTTTAGAGGTCAGAGTTGCCAAGTTCAAGTGCTAGAACTTCTAGTGACATGGAACTAGGGCCCTAGTCAATTGTTCTGTGTCTGATCCTCGGTTTCCTCAGTTGTAAATGACAGCAGTAAAAATAGCCGTGCTGCTTGTCTCACAGGGAACCGCTAATTTCTGATATGATGGCTTTCAGTCCAAGCCTACTACGTAGATGGGTTGGTAGAGAGGCCTTGAACGTGGAGCTTGAGTGCTGGCTGTGGGCTCCCCTCTGCTTGGCCGGCCAGTTTAGGAAATGACTCTCCGTCTCACTTTCTCCACGTGTCCAGTGGGGACAGCAGTGAATAGCATTGCTGCCTGAAGCATTTGGAGCTCCTTGAGCACGTGTTAGTTATTTCTGCAGATAAGATTTTATAGCAGCCAAAACTTTCATGGGAAAGAGCAAGACACACAGTGCTTAACAAGAGAACTTTAGCTAATTTGATCTGCCATTTGGTTGATTAACCAGCACTTGACACCAGAAGCAGCCTGTTTCTGGAACAAGTTATGGGAGCCCTCTCATCAATATTTTATGCAAATGATGGCTCAATGTAAAGAAGAGAATACTCCTCCCTCTTCTCCCTTCCTTTTTATTTTTAACAGAAAATAGTTTCTGGTGAACTGATGAGAATTCCCTATTGCAGAAAAAAAAGGAAAGAAAGAAAATAACTCATTTGTAACCATTTGTTCTGAAATATAAAGACAGACAGTGTGTGTTTTTCAATTAGCAGTGCCCAGGGACCATTGGCTACAGGGGCCTGCTCCTGAATCAGTGTGTTTGTTGAAAGAACAATTCTCTTTCATGCTACTCTTTTGCTTTCATTAAAGAATTGTGGTTTTCAATCAAATATTAATAAGTGTCTCCCATTAGTGGCACTGCACATAAAGGACACTCAGCATTTCTGTTCTCCCTGTCTGTCGCTGGCTCAGCTGTTTAAAAAATAAATAAATAAATAACGACTCAGTGAAATGAAAGCTTGGCTGCCCTGAAAAGATGTACCTTCTAATACAAATCCAGGATATAAACCATTCACTAGGAGAGTTTCCAAATCAAACCATTTGATTATGATGAGGGAGAAGTGCCCTTGAGTGGTTCACTCTTTTTCTTGGTCTGCTTTTGCCCAGTTTAACTTCAGAAATGGAGACAAAGGAAGCAGTTGGTCCAGCAGGCTCCCTGTACCACCCCAACATGTTTCTAATGCCAGATCAGTCGTTATGTTCTTCCCTCAGAGGCACTGCACTGTGCTTTCTCCAGGCTTGGGGACTCAGCACCCTCCTGCATCACAGCAGTGGGCTGCTCAGACCAACAGCTTACTCATCAAGCCCTGCTATGCCTGCATTTAGGATCACAACCCACCCCCCCCCACCCCACCCCACCCGGCAATAAAGAATATTTTAAAATTCCCCTCATTACTCACCAGCACCAGCCACTGTTCCAGAACAGCCACTCTGGGGAAACTGTCGTGAATCTACATGGAAAGCACCTAGAACCCGCCAAGCACATGAAGCTTCTCAACAAACATGGGGACTCTTCTTCACTGGAAGCAAGATGCCCATCTGCAAGTGTGCACTTCTCCCTGTGGGGACAGCGTCCCCTTCTGATAATTTTTACCGCTTGGAAAATGTAGTTTGGAGATGCTTTGAAGCAACTTCAGTTTACCCAGATGGTTCTACAGTGGCAGCTTAACCTCTCAAGCCTGTTGTATGAGCCTTCACTGGAAAAAAATAATAATAATAATGAGCAGGATACCACTAGCCCACCCCTAGCAATTCAAATGAGTTGTTTGCCCTCAACAGCCAAGCTTGAAGTTTCCAAACCAAATGTCTCAATTTGACAGTGTCACCTTGGCATGTTGATGTCCTAAAATACTCTTAACCATATCCCACATTCCGAATGGGCTATTTCAGTGCAGTCTGCAGAGTTTTCTGCACCATGGCAATTGAGTTTCTAATTCAGAGACAATAAAGGAGTGTATTTCATTTTCTTTCCCACAAACTGTAGTCAGATCTTCACTGCCATTTAAGGTAACTTTCTGCTTGTTTAAGAATATTCCAGCTGTGTTTATGGTGTTTCAACGTTTCCCTGCCAAAACCCTTGACAAATGAATTGGCAGTATTTTCAGGGATGTTGGAGAGCCCAGACTGGATTTAGCCATTAAATCTTCATTTGTTTTTGCTCTAGCTGATCAGGGCAGGATATAATAGGATAGGACTTTTGATACTAAAACATACAGAGAGAATGTACATTTTGATCACAGTTTAGTCCTGCCTGAAAAGTACCTTAACATTCAGATACTTGGAAACTTTCATGCCGCCCCCCCCCCCCCCCGGATTACTGACTGCATTTTGCCATCTTTTTCTAAACATAATCTCCCAATCTCACCTCAGTGATGAGATTCACCAGCTGTTTAGTAGATCCTGGTCTGAACATAGCCTCAGGCATCATAAATGAATGATGTCCCTATGCCAGTTTTAAATCAACTCAGCCAACATTGGGGATGATGCATTAGACTATTGATTTTTATGCCCCACCACTGTACTGGTAGCGTGTGTTTAAGGAGTCCTGCCACAGCTAAAAGGATACAGCAAGGGAAGCTGGCTGCGCTATCTTTCTTCGACTGACTAGGAATTTATAAACAAGTTTTCCGTAGCTTGAACTCTGCTCCGCATTGCCCAAGTTATTTTAAATTATGCTTTGTTCAGTTGAAATACAGCAGGCTGCTGCACCTCTCTCAGAGAAGTGGCAGAAAAGCAAGAGGCCCTGGCATTGTTCAAACTTTTAAAAGTACTTCTGTATGTGTGTATGTGTGTGCCTGTGAAGCAAGAATTCATCTGGTTCTCTAAAAATTCTCTTGCAGCTCAGAGAAAAGGTAGAACGCCTGAGTTAAGATACCCTTTCAATTGAAATGACAAGTGTAACCGATGTGTTCCAAAATCATCTCTGTGACAGGGCTACGTGCTTTCCTTAGATCCTGTCTGTAGGAGGAAATTACTTTGCGAAGCCTTTCCCCAGTCAATCATTTATCTGTTTTAGCAGCAAGAAGGTAACCTCATGGAAATAGGAAGCATTCAGCTCCTTTCATTTCTGTTAGCAATCTGTGGCATTCTCAAAGAGGAGACAATAAGTAATTGCAAGGTAAATTACAGGTTGGCCACATTGACAGAAGTCCCTTTTTTTTTTCCTGATTGTTTTTATTTGTGATTATGTATTTGGAGGTTTTAAAATAGTCTTTTACATGTGACCATACCTGAATCCCCTCCCCACCAAAAAAAAAAGAAAACAAACTTCGTTATTCTGATACCTGTGTCTCCCCAGTCTACTTCCTCCATATTTTGCTCTGTAGTCAGGTCTGCTGAGACTACACATTCGGTAGTCCAAAACAGTAGAGGGCTAACCTGTTGTCAAAATCCTGCTGCTCCCAGAACCGCATTTGTAGTAGAGGATGGGAACAATTGTGACCCAAGAGATACCTGTCCAATGGAAAGCCTTCTAGTTGGCTATGAAATCAAGCCAGCAGCTGGTCTCAGTGCTCACAGTTTATGTGGCCCCATGTTAGTAAAAAGCCAAGGATTGGAGAGCCAATCCCAAAGTGGGTTTGCAGTGGTGTTGAAGGAAACTTAAAATCTTTCCATAGGACTAGTCTGACCACCTGTTTGAGACAAATTACAAAGATTAGCAGGCTACCATTCCAAGAAGCATTTGGTCCTGAAATCACTTAACTTCATCCAGAGTGGCATAGAGATTGAAAAGTTTCAACATACAGTCCCACTTTATAAATGACACAGTAATCCTTTTAAGTCATTGAACACAGCACACAGTTCAGAACTTGACAGGAACCCCTGAGGAGACAGCTTCTCAGTTACTGTACCACTGCCAGTAGAATAAAAAGGTTAAAGAAGTCATCATATTTGTCAGGTCATTTTTTGGATAGGGTAAGGATTTTACAATTGGAAACATCAGTCAAGTTTTTAATTGCAAGTTTCATACAGGAAAGGGCAGTGGTCTGAGGTTATAATGTTACTATTCTATTGCTCATGCTCTTCTGAGACCAATTAACCGCTGTCTTTCTCTAAGTTGCTTGTAGAAGTCCTGCTTGTGTGAAATTGTGGTAAATGCATAAACTGTGCCTTACTAGATTCTTCTAGACATTTTCCATCTTCTTTATGCATTTTAACCTCCTTTGGAAACTTGGTTTGCCACATGAGCCTAGAGACTAACAGCAAATGAGTGAATTAACGATCTTCTTGGCTATAAAAAGTGGAATCAGTCAGGCTTCTCATGATTTCAGATCAGTCTCCACTAGATGATTTACTTTGGCCTCCATTTGTAGTCTCAAGATGAAAAGTGGGAAACCAAAAATTTCTTGGTGTTACTTCGCCTGTTAATGTTGGTGATGATCACAATGTCTTTGAAGCAATGTTACTTTGCAACAGATGGTAAATTTGGGACTCTTAGTTTTAGAGCTCAGTATCAACAGGGAAGCCAGCAGAGTCACTGTCATCTGTCTCACACTCTATTACACACATCGTCTAGATGCCTTCGAAAAGGCCACTCAGATGTTTTTATTGATGGCAAAAACTACAGTCAGCCTAGGTACAGGCGTCATGTTTAAATAGTAGGTTCCTTCAGCTGCTACACTGTCAGAACTGTATGAAACAGCTCAGTATTCATAGCAAGCTAGACTTCATTCAGGATTCTTGGGCCAGCTTAACCCAGAGGCGAATTTCCATATACTGAGAGTTTTTGTGTATTAAAAAATTACAGCATGATGCAAAAAAAATGCATTGACTTATTTTTATGACTGGATGTCATTGTGCTTTGGGGGTATTGGGCAGGTGTTGCTTTCTCTTATTGCTGTTTGATTAGAAGATGCAACAACAGTATTGACTTGATAATCTCACCAGGTATACATACAAAATGAAAGAAGAAAATATGTTTTATGACTCCTGAATTGATTTACATAAACCAAACAATCTGCTGGCTGCTTGAATGTAGAATGCTCTATTTTGCTTATCGGCCACAGGGGCAACAATCTCATATTGTTGATGCCAGAATTCTGCTTTCATGCATTCGCTCTGAAATGACAATAGGCTTCAGCCTCACAGTGTTTAGATCTGCTTCATTTGGAAATCTTTTAAGTAGTAATAATAATAATGTTTTGAGGAAATTGAGTGGAACACTAAATTATTCTCTGATACCTAAGTTCAAACTGTGCAAGGCTAAAGAAGCTGAAAATCAATGCACTTTTAAAGTCATTAGAGATCATAAGTGAAGTAAGTCTGCTTTAGCTAAGCTTTTAGTGTGCAGTGGTATTATTATAAAATCAGCCTGAATCTGCATTAATTTCACAGTCTTTTTCTCTAAGAAGCCCAAGGGTGCATGATGAATAAAATGTAAATTTCAGAAGGCAGTGTTTTTATTAGTGAAAAGGGCAATGAGCCATGTAGTTGGAGCAGTGACCTGCATGGTGGCCAGTGCTGGTACAGGAGGCAGAATCCAGCACTATAGATTCTAGTTATTGTATACCATAAGAAAAACTAGATATGGAAACTTCGATGGGTCTCAAAGTAGGTGTTCAGAGAAATGTACATTGCCTTGTGTTTATTAGACTTTAGGTTAAATCTCTGATACATTTCAGAAGTCACTGCTTTCATAAGCTGTACAAAATTTTTATACAAATAAATTCTATGTAAATTTTTAATTTTTTGCTTTAACTGCACTGCTGAATGTTCTTAGAGGAATAGAACATTTGTTTTTGTTAATGGTTAATAATTACTAAATCGTTTCTATTGGGTTTTGTATATTTGCTTGCATTTAAATAGCATCAGTTTCTATTTGTACATATGTATTTTTAACTACGTGGAAGGGATTAGATATATTTATTTGCTGACATTCTGAGCTCTTGAAATTTATTTGCTAATTTGCCCTTTGTGTGAGCATTTTCTTATTAGCTTCTTTGAAATCAGCGATAAAATTTGAAATACAAAGCCCTGATGTGTGGATGCCCTCAGTAAACGTCATCAGCCAAGGAGAAAATGAGAAACGGCAACTTTTTATTTTAGAAAATGCAAACTAGATCTTGCTAATTTCAAACCCTGTGGCTAAAAAAAGTACCCAACTTCATTCCCTAGTTTTTTCATTTAAAAAAATAAACTAATAGATAAATCTTTCTGCTGTGGTCAGATTAGCAAGTCAGCACTGTAACAAAAAAAAAAAAAAAAAGACGAAACCAAAGAAGTTGTTTACTTTTATGTACTACTGAGAACAGTGTCGTCTTGTGGCAGTTCTCGTAGACTGTGTTGGTTTAACAAGCGTCCAACCCTTTTGTCTTGTTGTTTTTTGTCTTTCCTGCTCCCTGTCCCCTTGTTTCCCACAGGCTGTGCGTTTGTCACATTTTCTACAAGGGCAATGGCACAGAATGCAATCAAAGCCATGCATCAGTCTCAGACCATGGAGGTACTGTATCATCTGCCCTTTCTTTGTTTTCTTTGTGCAAATGATGGGGAATGGTAAAGCAATTCTCTCCTGTGTGGATTGTTCACATGACAATCACAGATTTCAACTTTCACCATCTCACTTCTCATTCATTCACCTCTCTCTCTCTGTCTCCCCCCCTCCACTCTTGGCCCCCTGCTCCCTCTCTCCTTCTCTCTCTGTCTCTCCATTTTCCCCCTAATGACTTGAAATGCATTAGTAAAACCTTCCATTTGTTGTACAGTTATTTTTTGAGCCTTTTATTTCAGCAGCACAGGTCTTGCGATGTAAAGTGTTGATCACTTTAAGCAAAGTGTGATTCTGGACCTACAGGATCAAACACATTCCCCACCCCAGGATTGGTATGGATCCAACAATAACAGCCCCCACCCAAATTGCTGCTTTCCCTGTGCTAAGTCGCAAAGATCTCTTTGTTCTGTTTTTTTTTTTTTTTTTTAATTTGGTGTCAAGTTAATCTAGTCAACCAGAATTGTGTTTTTGCACCTCAAGAATGTTGGAGAAAGTTAATATTTCTCCTGCTTAACAGTGAGAATGTTAATTTATGCATTTTCCCCTGCAAAATTTTAAAGTGAGCAATGACAAAGAAACACAAAGGCTCAAATGTTATCTCCTAAGGAGAGATAGTGGCGTAGGGGAAGACAAATACACTGGTGTGGGTGTATACCCACAAATGTAGATACTCTGTACTTTGAGTCTGTGATTTGGGTCATGGCCTTTCAGAACTTTGCACAAAAGCATTCCGAGAGTGATATACTTAAATTACTCTGTATTGTCTGATGGAATCATTTGGGAGTGCATGTTCTGCTGTATTGTGTGTACTGTATCTTTGTGTATGGGTGATCTTTTCTGGAGGTGGCCTTGTGGTGTTAAACTATGTTTTCATATTTTGGGGAAAAAAGATATTTTCACTTTTATTTGATGTGCTAAAAACTTCTTTATTAATTGTTTGGGCTCCTTTTTTACTCCCACTTTTTGGGGGTTTTATTTTTTGTTTGTTTGTTTGTTTTTTGCAATGCTGCACCTCCCAAAGCACGCTGGGAGCTAAGTGATCGTTATGCGTTGTTTTGTGGGCAACTTTTTTTGTAATGAATCAAAAGGTGGGTGGAAAGGGGGGAAGGCGTGTGCATGGCATTGTCACTAAGTGTTTACTGTACTTTTCTGAATTGTGATACCAGCATTGCAAAGCCTATTGTCTTTTTTGAATGTTCATTTTGACTTTGATATTTAACATATCTTATATAATCAATGTGTTTTCCTTTCAGTGCAATGCATTTTTAAGACACTCCTAGCCCCCACCTGAAAGCAAGCTCAGGTGAAAATCAGCCATGCTAAGAAATAATTAGCTGGATTTGAAATATCTAGGGATCCAGTCTTGTCCACCATATAGTTTTGTATGTGATAGTGTTTTGGTTCCCCCTTTCTTTTAACTTACTGTGGATCAGTCTGATTTCCAGCTGTAGTTTGAAGATGAAAATGAAAGTGCTATTAGGGAAACAAAAATTGAAAAGTCTTAACCTGTATTTATTTTCCATGTATGTCTCATTCTTAATTATTTTCACTTCCTGTAATTTAGCAATTTGGACCCAAGCCAGTTTCCCCTTAGATCATTTTTTTAATGTAAATTCCTTCGATGCTGTGAGAAACAGTGCCATCCCGCTCCTTTGCTCAGAGCCCCATGTAATGCCACAGAGATGAAATGCCCACGGGATCTGGGTTCTCACATCTCACTGTAGTAGCAGGGCTCAAAGGTGAGCAGAGAAGAGGGTGAGCCCAGACCAGAGAAACAGAAGGTTCCTGTGATGGAAAGAACTTGCTACAGGGGTTGGGGCATATTTATTTTTCAGAAATCCTTGACCCTTTATTATTATCTCTGTCATTAAGATATCAAATTTGGTATACTTGTTTCTGAAACTGGACACCCATACTGGAAAAGGGACCATCTCCAGACACTTGAGTTTCTTGCTCAGCTTAAAGAAACTGACATTTAAATAGAAGATCAGGGATTATGCAATCAAATTGTAATTGTACCACTGAAGCAGTTTTTCTTATTTAACTACATTACTTTCAGGACTCTGACATACATTAACCAAGGTGTTTTGTCTAGTTCAAAATCATATGTATCTTAAAAGAACAAGATCTTAAAAACAGTTCATTTGATATTGTGCCTTCCATGTCTCTACTTTCCTCCACTCTATCCTTACCCCTTTTTTTTCCCTTCCACAGTTTAAACAAGTCATTTTTTAAAGCCATGACCTTTGGCTTAATTTTTGGCTTTCATATCACTTTGTAGTACTTAAGGAATAAAATAATAATACATATACTGTTAGGAGGAGATGCTATAATTTGTGATGGAAGACATTGTATGCGACAACAACCCTTTCCATGCAAAACCTCTTCTCTATGTAATTTCTATCTGGAGAATATTTTGCTGTCTTTACAGTGATGAAACGTTGAAATATAGAGAAGAGAAACAAAAAAATGCGTTAAATATTTTTTAATGGGAATGTTATTTTTATGCAGTTTACTGACATATAACATTTTGTGCGGTGATGCTGCCTACCAGAGCTGAAGACAGATAGGCTGGCAGTTCACTGAAAACAGTCTTATCATTTTTCTCACTTTAAAAAAAAAAAAAAAAGACAGCATTGCCTCATGTATTCAGGACTACCTCCCCAGTAACTACACATGGTGATGAGGGGGGGGAAATGCAAGTTTGTTTTCTAGAAGAAAGAAAAATGACCCAAAGGGAATAGAAGGGAAAAGCTCATTTAAATAGGGATATAACATTTCTGAGAAGAGAGAGAAAGCAAGGTCTATTATCATGCTGAGTTTCAATAATAAAAGTTTTTATTTAATCACTCGGGTCGAATTACTTCTTTTTACCTCAGCAAAACTGAACAGCTTTAATTGTGATGAAATGTGAAGGCAAGCAATGCTAAGGAGGAAAGACTGGAGAGAGGGATGGGGGTTCTGCTGAGTACTCACCAGTAGCAAGTGTTTTCAGAGGTGCTTTGCAAAGGAGAGCTTTGTGCTTGAGGTGTTAGGCTGTTATTTTCCCTGATGATTTTATCTGCTTCAAAAAGGAATTCAACCTACTCTCTGACCCTGGCTATTTCTTTGTTACTACCCCTACTCCTTGCCTTTTAAAGGAAATTGAATCTGCAAGAGGCTGCCTGAATGCTGAGGTTCCGGGAGCTAGGGAAGTTTAGGGAGAGAAGCCACGTGGACTCCTCCTCCTAACACTTAATATGTCTCCTTTGAACTAGATGGTGCTTCTCTTTCGCTGCTTTTGTTTTTGTTTGTTTTTTTTTTTGTTTGTTTGCTTGTTTTTTTGATTTACAGCGTCTCTGAAGATTTTAGATAGAGTAGGTATGACAAGGAAGAGAGGCCTTTCTGAAAATATATGAACAGTTACTTTGGTCAGTGCCTATGTTTTCTGAAAATCATCTTTCACACACATTTCCTAAAATGAAAACCGCTTCTCCCTGTTATTGCTGGATTGATATGGTACCCACGTTTCCAGTGTTGAAAAATACATAACTAAAAGTGAGACAGAGTAAATAAATGTAGAGATATTATTTCCATTCCCATTACAATTTCCCCCTCTCTCTGTCCTCTGACCACATCAAGTCTATCTTGAAGACAGGCAAACCAGGAAGCCTAATTCAAGAGCATTGATAAAGTCTGTTGTTGCTAAGGAGGCACTGGCCCTTGAAGGAAGACAGGTGGACAGTTTAATAATCAAAACAAGAAAGCGAATGCCTTCAGCCACACCGGATCCCCCAGAGATGCCAATGATAATGTCTGGAATTTTCCATCCGTGGTGCTATTCAGAGAAGAAGGAATATCAACCCATTTTTAAGCTATTCCAGACCTTTCCATGCACTCCAAGGTAGTTTGAGAAAGATGGGTCCAGTGCTGACTAAGTACTATGAGAGGATTCAACCAAGCTGTAACTTCCTCTTCACTTTCCAATGTGTCTGACCACAGGGCTGCTCTTCACCTATCGTGGTGAAGTTTGCTGATACTCAGAAGGACAAGGAGCAAAGGCGCCTCCAACAGCAGCTTGCACAACAAATGCAACAGCTCAACACTGCCACCTGGGGGAATCTGACAGGTCTGGGCGGACTCACTCCACAGTACCTGGCGGTAAGTGCTGGAGGCAGGCAGTCCACGTGTGGCATCCAGAAGGCAGAGGCATTTACCTACTGCACTCTTGAAGCCTGCTTTTCCCCTGAGTATGCTAAGGAGTTCATTTCCAGTAATTTTGAGTCTCAGAAAATAATTGAAATCAGCATTTATGCAGAATATTTTTCCAAGTTAAATGAACTCGCATAAGAACATAACTAATTTAATTCTTGTTTGATGTAGGCTGGGCCAAAGTCCCACAGGCTAAATTTCTAGGCAGTGTTTCAAAGGCATCATACAGTCCTGTTCTAGTTACAGCATGTTTGCTAGCTGATTATTTGAAAATACTGAGACACCTGTGGTTGAGAACCTGCAACGTGGCCAGTCAGTAGGGCCTCAGTTGAAATCTCTTTGAATTTGGCATTTCATGATCTTGGGTCTTCCCAGAGGAACTATATTGACGATATCATAGGCGTCTTACTTTACGTATTTGAAACAAACAAAAAAAAAAAAAAAAAAACCTTTCAGGCTGAACAGACCCTTTCATCCATCTGTTACATTTCATGGTTCCTGAACTTCACTCTCTATTTTCCTTTCTGCTTTTCATTTCATTTTATCAGGGTCTTTATTGGAATACTGTGATCAGAGTTTAAAGCCATTCCGCTGGTAAGAACGGAGCAGGACAGAGTAGTGACCATCTCATATGGAACTTAAAACGTCTTCACGCCAGCTGGACAGTAGCATTTGTAGTAACCAGGTGACGTGTGAGCTGGAAGCCAATGAATAATCTACAGTTTTTATTTTTTACTTAAACTTCTGCTAAATCATACTCTTCTCCCCCAATTTTCCTGCTTTGGAATCTAAATGCTAAAAACCTCACATTTATTCTTGTATTTTGTTTTGTGAATTTGGGTCTTTTATTCCAGCCTCAGAGAGAGAAAGAGAGAAATAGCATGCATACGCAGACACTGCTGTATTTGTGTCCTAATTCTGTCACTTTACATTTTTACTCTCCCTCTTAGGATTGTACCATCCATTAGCTGTACTTTGTAGCAGAAACTATCCTGTTTGGTAAAGAGTCCTCCCTACCACTTTGGGAGGTGAGCTTATCCTACCTGTAAAGATGAGGACAGGGAGATTCAAAGAGGCTATGTAACTTTATCCCAGACCACGCAGTTGCCAGTGGTCCATGGGATTGCAGCTCTGCCTGTTCCGCCCGTCTTGCAAGGTTGCTTGCCTGATGATTCTCTGAGTACAGACTCAGATTATGTTTGTCTTTTTACCAGTCCCATCCCCAGTGCCCAGTGGGGGCTGGTATGTAGTGGCTACTCAGTACACCATTGGTTATAGGAAGCTTGCTTTTCCTATCTTTATCTGAGTTGTTAATATCTGAGCATTGACCAAGTTTACTCTCACCTGCCAGCTTTTTTTTACCTCTTATCTACAAGATGTCATGAGAGATTTTGTCATATGCTCTGTTAAAAAAAAAAAATGTCATTTTTCTGGCCTACCAGTCTAGAAACTTTTTTAAACCAAAAATGAGTTTAGCTTAATGATTATTTGTTTTTCACAAACTTGGGCTGTTCAGGTTTTCATGGACCATCAGTTCGATTATGCATTCCAGAGTTTTTATCCAAGATTGACATCGTGCTCACTTTGTCATAGTTCCTAAGAGCCCAGTTTCCTGCTTAACCATTTTTGAAAACCAGGACACATGTGCCCACCCTCAGTCTTGTGGCACATCTCCCAAGCTCCACAGCTTACAGAAATCTCTGGCACATGTTCTGTGACCACTCTGCAAATTATTTCCATACCTGAAAGAAAATTAATCTCAGCCTCATGTATAAAAACATGTTTTTAGAAGCTCTTACTATGTCTTCTGTCACGGGCTTTGATTCTTATTTAGCAGTGTTGGTTCTAACCATTGTCGTTGAAAGACATGCACTCTGAAAGGAATCTTGGCCCCCAAGCACCCACCTACCTCAGTGTTTCCTGACAGATTCTGACCCTGGAGCACTAGAGCTTGTTTATCCATGGAAATAGCCTTGGTTTAGTGGCATATTGGTACTTCCACTTACCTCAGCAGGTGGTATTAACGCCACAAAATATCCTCAAAGCTAATTTAATTTTACTTTTATTCTTTAAGATTTAATATGAGGAGGGGGTTGGGACTTAGAAGCATTAAAGAATGGAAAACTCAATAAGTTAACTCAGAAGTGATATATTTCTGCAATAAACTGAGTGATCACTAGCTTCTCTCATTCATTCTCTCTCTCTCTCTGAGTGTGTCTGTATATGAGAGGGAGAGAGAGAAATACCTTGGCAGTGTATTCCATGAACACTGCAGATGTTTTTCTGGGTTTAGTACCCATAAGTCCCACAGTATCATTGTACCCAAGACATTTAATTGACTACTGATATTCCACTCTGCTTGATGTTTATATGCAGTTGATAGGTGTCCATTTTGAGTCATACCCAGCTGCAGAGTTTTTCTTAAAAACTCAGGAGACTTACACTTGGTGAGAGGAACAACAGTGTTCTACATTTTGTTATTCACAGCTCCAAATAAAAATCTGAATGCTGTTTTTTAAGATTTATTCATTTATTTGAGAGGCAGAGTTACAGACGGAAAGGGAGAGACAGAGAGGGGGGTCTTCCACCTGCTGGTTCACTCCCCAAATGCCCATATCCATATCTGTATTGGCCTACTTTACTAAAACAAGAATATCAATAAATCCAGTCAGACACTTAGTGAAGCAGCACTGGGCAGGCATGGGAGCCCTTCAGAACAGGCCTTTCCCTTGTGGCACTCACTGATTCTGTGACGCAAGAAAATGTGTTTTTGAAAGCTCTAGGGAGACTTTTCACACACAGATAGGTTGTTTCTTTTTTTAAAAGCTTGTGTGGTACTGCATAGTTTCGGAGTACAACACACTGATCATCTTCTCTCTGCCAGGGAAGACCATCATGCAAAGGGCTGACCGTTTTCTTGGTCATCCAGTTGTGGCTCTAAGTGTGCAGCTATGACTGGGTTCATTCATGTCTGTTGTTAGGATGCTGGTCTGGATGTTGGCCTGAGAGTCAGTGAGCCCATGTGCCTTTAATGAAGAATAAAGGAAACTGAACTGTGAAGGGAAGTAGAAGAGAAGGAGGGAGTGAAGCTTGATTGACAGAGAGGAGTTAAGGTAACTCCAAGACTACAGAGAGATACAATTAGTCATGCTACATTGGTTTCAGTAGGTTTAACACCTGGTTGTTTAAAAGAGTAAATTGATTAATTGTTTTAAGGCCCAGTGTCTGTGTTTCTTATTAGAGATTAGGCATTAATATGGATTTACACTCCCAACTCCAGGGACCTTCAGTCCATCAACAGGCAGTAACAACTGACTATAAAGGGGGAGAAACTGAACTTACTTTGTTCTCGGGTCCACACTCTGATTTTCCACTTCTGCATTTCCTTCCCAGCTCCTGCAGCAGGCCACCTCCTCCAGCAACCTGGGTGCGTTCAGTGGCATTCAGCAAATGGCTGGTAAGTGGTATTTCGTGTCTTTTCTTTTTGACCATGACCTTGTCTGAATTCTGGATTGGTTCAGAATGCAAAGATAAATGGGAAAAGAAGAAGAACCATGGGTAATCTGCTGGACTATTAGCTTTCTGTTCTCGTTGTTGAAATTGGCTCTGAAGTGGCTTTCCTGCCTTTTGCATTTCCTACCAACCTGTTCACCATGCATGACAGTTACAAAATGAAGAGGCTGAGAATTTCTGCATAGCATGCTCTGTAGTCACGTGTTGTTTTCCTGACTGGTTTTGATTGTTGGGGGGTACTCCCCACATGATTCTTATATCCAAGGCAACCAAAATGATTGACATCCCTCTAAAATTTTAATAATAGGGAGTCAATAAAAATGTTCTGACCTCCATAATGAAAGGCAACATTGCAGGCCTTTCTTTGATACAGTTTGCAGTTCCTTGATAACGACAGACAATTAACAGGGTGCCTTTTTTTTACTTCAGTGCCTCAGTTGACAGAATTGTGCATCTGAAGCTTTTATGTGGAAGTGTAGTCTTTGTTCTCGAGGAAATCAAAGTGTAACTGCGTTTGAAAGCCTGCTCATTGAAGGATTCTTTTGTATAATGAGCTGTGCCAGTAGTAACTGAGGTGCAGTGATTAGTGAAAGGTCATTCCTGCTGTGCCACCTTCCATGCTGATATCCTAACTTAACACTGAGCCAGGGAAGGCAGCATGTGCAATAAATCAGAACACAGGTGCCCATTAACCTGCCGCGAGGAACAGTTAGGAAGCTTTTTCCTTGTTTGATTCCGAAAGGGTAGGGGAGAGAGGGCAAGCGAAAGAACAGATTTCTGGCCTATTAGAATCAAGCTCAGTTTGCTTTAATCAAGGACACCCTGAATCAATGAAATGAAACCTGAGTGTGCAGAATAAAAGCCAGGTTTCTTTATCTGTCACTGTGAAAACTTTTCTGCACTTCTTTCCTTCAAATATGCATCCGTGATTTTTTTTTTCTTGTTTCACTTTGAATGAATCTGGAAAGACTTTCAAGAGGTTTCTACCCATGTGTGTTCTGTGATGGGCAGCCCAGTTGTCCACTGTGACTCACAGCCTCATGGTAACTCACTGTGTGATGGCATACATTGGTCTCCAATAAAAATACTACTAAATTACGCACTGGATGTGAGGTCTCTTGGCATTGCCAGCTTTTACTGTTTGTAATATAGCCTTTGGATAACTAGAAAAACTGTGTCTTGAAATGATAGTTATGTCATTGCAGTATCTATGAATACAGCTTTAAGAAGCTGGCCTTGGAACTAAGAAGCACATTGAGTGGTTCATTTATTTTTAATTCTGTGAAGGGAACTAGATAGACATAGCAGAGTGTTCTGTGAAGTATCATCTCCCATGATTTAGAAGGGAAAAAAAAAACCTCCCAATTGCAAATTCTAAAATAAATGCTAATTAAGATTTGTCACATTTTTAGCTGATGTTTTTCTTCTAATAGTATGACCCATGTACACCCAAAATTAGGGGCTTTCCTAGAGGAAGCCTCAGGCCCTCCCACTCCCACAGTCAAATTATGCAGAAAGGGACACTGGTTCTTGAGGCTAATGCCAAGTGTGTCTTCCCCAGTGGACAGACACTCTGTCATTTTTCACTGGGACACATGTGCCTTTGCTATGCACATGGTTCATTCATTGTTGTTAGCATTAACACACTCTGTGTGTTCATTTGAAATCTAAGGGTGCCTGCGAATTACCTTCCAAAGTGCCAGGGAGCAGCTGGCTACCATAAAATCATCTGTAACTGCTCTGGGTTTTCCAAAATAACTATTTATTGAGCCTTCAATATACTAATAAATTCAGCATGCTAAGTCTGAACAGGCTATGAAGTCAAAAGCTGTACTGTCCACTCTGAACCATCATCTTGGATATTTAGAATATTCAAGAAGTGTCACAGCTCTGCCTTCTTGGCAGTTTCCATAAAGGAGTCCTTGTGGATAAGCGGGTCCCCTGTTTCTATGTACATGAAGGATAAAAGCTTTGGAGTATCTTTTTTCCAAAAAAAAAAAGAAAAAGAAACGTCATATGACCCCGTCCTATTCTTTTGTCCCAGAAGTCCGGTTTAACGTTTGTTCCTCACATTAATCTACACTGGTATCCTCAGGGGATTGTGGTGGATAGGTAGTAGCAGTACTTCCTAGAAGCAGCTTTCTCAGCTCCTCCAGTTGTGGGAGGAGCTCCCCTCTTATATGTTCAGATAAATCCCCCCCCTTCTCTGAATATTCGGGACTCCTCTGTACTCCAGCCACACTCTTGAGTTCCCAAAGAGCACAGACTGGTATCTCATGGACTCAGTCCTTAGTCCTGTGACAGGTACTGGTGACCATTTTTTAAGGGATGAATGAATAACTACATAAGTTGGCAGGCATAGGTTTATATTTTGGATACTTTGCCAATGGAGCTTAAATTAAATGCCCAGTTTTTAATTAAGAAATTTGAGTCTAGCCTTAGTATAAAACAAAAAAAAAATTGTATAAGCTACTGTCAGTTTCTTCGTGAATGAGTTGTTGAGGGTTTGATGATAGTTTGTATAATAGAAAATCTATTAGCACATAGCGCATGATAAATACAGTAGAAGCCATGTGATAATAGGATTGAAGGAACCAACCCCTCCTGATGTCACAGTGTTTGTTGATTGATGCTGTGACTTAATAAGACTGGGCACCTACACAATTTAAGTGTAGTTTTTATGTATTAACAGTTAGTAAACTTAACATATTAAAAACTACTGTAGTGGTCCAGATTAGAACACTACCAACAAAGAAAGTGAAATATTTCAGAAACTTACAGCTTGAATAACCCTCAAAACATAATAGTGTCTCGTTCAGAAGATTGAGGCTTATAGCTGGAGTCATGAAATGCCTCATGTATGTGAGCACAACATTTTCTGTAGAGGAGAAAATAAAATGACAAAAAGAAACAAAAAAGGAGTTTTAGACGGTAAGATACCAAGTAGTTGGATCAATAAAATCAAATGTGCTATCACCTGTGCCTTTTTTTTTTTTCCAGAAAGTCCTAATATTTTCCTTTAAAACTAAGAATAACTTTAAGTGGGTTTAATTCTATAAATACAGAATTTAAAAACAAAAAGGATTAGGATCACATCTTCATAAGCTGAATGCTTTTATGTACACTTTTTGTGTCTGTTTGAAGTTGTTGATTTTATTTTCCCTCTTAAAACTTCTAATGAAAAACTTCTCCATTTCCCCATTCAACTATGGCTTTTGTTCCAGGAATTTCTGAAATATCAGAAACATGGGGTCTGAGTTTGGACTAAGTCTGGATTTTTCTTGAGGGAAAGAATAAAAGAAAAGTGTCTTTCCAAAGTCTTTAATCTCTCTGGAAGGACTATCTCAAAGGAGGAACATGACAGAAAAATCAGTTTGTTTTTAAACAGATCACCTTGTAATCATCCTGCAGTTTATCCTCACACTGTACCGAGGACAAAACCACTGCTGTGTTACTGTCCATTACAGCTGGGCAGCAGAGAGAGGAAGAAGGGTGAGAGCATGGGCAGGAGGGAGGGTAGGAGGGGAAGAACCACTGTGTTCCTAAATCTGAATACATGAAATGCAGGAAATTTGTATACCTTAGATAAAATTTAAAACAAAAGAAAAACAGAAATATGAAAAAGTTGGTAAGTTATGTAAGACCACAGTGCCAGTTAAGTGGCATAATATATATAAATGTATATAATTCTCAGATATCACAACTTTGAGTTAGGGGCTAATATTATCCCAATTTTATTGGGAAATAGCTGAGGGTTTAGCAAGGTTAAAAACATGTCCACAGTCATTATGGTAGTAAGTGGAAAAATCCACATTTCACATCCCACTCAACCTGATCCAAAACCTGAGCTATTTCCTTAAACTCTTGTGTGTCAGCCAATTCAGGTGTGTTTATACAAACACAGGTGATGTGCCTACACAAATGGTTTAACAAGCCAAATAACAAAGCCAGAGCCTTAGATGGAACCCAGCCTCCTAAATTAAAACGGAAGCAGTTCAGAGATAGTGACGGGAAAACTGTCTCCCTTCATTCTAGAAAACATTTCAAATTTATTAAGAATGGGCTATTCTTTGTTAGGGGAATTTCTTTTTTCTAGTGTGAGGAGTTGTTGTTAAGTAAACTACAGAAAAGAGAGAAGTATCTGTTGATGAACATGGAGGGAAAAAAAAACTTCATTTTTAATTCTGCTGGTATTAATTCCCTTCCCTTAGAATATCTGGCCTGAGGTTCAAAGATAACAATAAAACTGTGGAGTGCAAATATTTGCTCTAAACAACAAAACAGCTCTCCTTTTATTAATTTGAGATTCAGTCCCTGAGAAGACTGTCACAAGTGGAAGAGGGGAAGACGTCTGCACAGCCAGTGTACTGGGGGTCTGAGAGGCTCACACTGAACACTCTCCCAGCGTTGTGAAGTGTGCATCCTAGACCCTCAGAGACCCTGGGTTCTTCCCGAAGCTGGGTCTCCAGCAGCCCACACCGCAGACACTTCCTGTGAATGTGCTAATAGGCCTTATGAGGATGCTCTATAACCACCCATCTGTCACTTTTTAACAGACCTGATTGGCAAGCACTTGTAACAACTGACATCTGTTCTCCCTTATTGATATGCAGATTTATGGTAATTGCTATGAACAATAAGACACAAAATTACCTAAGGTGAACATTAAATTAAATTTTCATGCCCTTCTCCTTATAAATAATTTTTTTTAAATCTTAAATTTCAAGTAGGCATATTGCACATCTGTTTTGTACATAATTTCTTCGTTTTTGAAAAGGTTTTTTTTGCTCCAAGTAATAAGGAATGGAAGTTGAATCCCTGTATTCCCAACTTTTTGTGTGTGTGTGTCATCTTGAGAAGGGCATGCTATTAGATTTCCTGAAAACAATTTAAATGTTTTGTTTGTTTTGTCACCCAGATTATTGCCCCTAGTTTTGTTGTGGACTAGGTGGGGTCTAAAAAAATCCCTATTCCAGGCTCTTGCCTCTTACCTAGAGAAATATTCTAAGTACATGCAGAAATATGACTTAAAAGTGATAAATTTATTTAAAAAGATAAATCACAAACACATTGGCCATGTTCAGGAATAGAGTGGTCAGGGAAGTGAAAGAGAGAGAGAGAAAATTTCTGCCTCTTGTGAGCCCGGGTTTCCTATGAGCCTGGAAGGGGGATGGTTACATGGTACCACGCTCAGGTCAGGGGAGATACTTCTTGGGGAAGGGGTCATTTGATAGACAGGTGGGCAGGTAGGATTACATGGGGGAGGTGTGGCTTCCAGCTGGTGGCCCTAATCTAGCCACCTGCCTTATCCCCTGTCAGTTTGAGGGGTGCCCTTCTTACCAGAGTGATGTAGAGTTAAATGTCATCGATTGTTTTTTCTTCAGAAAAGAACCCTTTGCCAAGCCAGAACCAGCTTCCCACTCAGTGGTGGGTGATTTGTGCCTCTCCCCCGATGCTCTCTCAGAATTATTGTGCAGGAGTAACTGAGAAAGTGTGACAGGAGTAGGAAATGAGGAGGCCCCTGGGAGAGAGGCTGAGAAACAGGAAAAGCTTGGGCAGCACTCAGCCCAAAGGAAGAAAGAAACAGAAGCAGGCCTTCTGGAAGAGTGAAAGCAGGAACCCAGCCCTAGGCTGCCTTTGGAGCCACAACTGTTGGCTCCACCCTGGAGAAGAATAACTCAGAGTTAAATAGAGGAGTAAACTTTTTTTTTTTTTAAGATTTATTTATTTATGTGAGAGGCAGAGTTACAGACACAGGAAGACAGAAAGGTCTTCCATCCGCTGGTTCACTCTCCAAGTGGCTGTAACAGCCACAGCTGGGCCAGGCCAAAGCCAGGAGCCAGGAGCTTCTCCCGGGTCTCCCATGTGGGTACATGGGCCCAGGAACTTGGGCCATCTTCTGCTGTTTTCCGAGGCCATAGCAGAAAACTGGATCGGAAGAGGAGCAGCCGGGACATGAACAGGTGCCCATATGGGACGCTAGTGCCGCAGGCAGAGGCTTAGCTACTATGCCACGCTGCTGGCCTGGAGGAGTGGACTTTCATCCCTGTCCAGGAGCAGGCTTGCTGGGGTCTGAAAGTGGTGCTGTGTGCTGGAAAGTGTGGTGTGGTTAAGGAAGTGGAGAGTGACACAGAATGTGAGCTTGTCCTCACCCAGCTGCCCTAGCCGACTTCCTTTAGTGTGGCCCGCACCTTTAATGAAACAGCTTGTCCCTCCAATAGGAGTGGATGGGCAGTGACAGGCCCCCATCAGTGTAGGCACCTTTGTTGCAGGAAGAGCCAAAAACATCCATTGCAGTCACTGGGGTTATATGTTATTGCCAGTGAAGGGTCCAGAAGCATTGTGCCTAAACATCTGTGTGTCCCGGGATGACAAGGGGGATGTGACAGAGGGCGTGAGACAGCAGCATTGGGAATGCCGGCAGCTGGTGCAAGAGTGTTCTGGGGAGAACCAGACTGGAGAGTAGGCTTCAGCCTGTGCCTCCGTGGAGAGCACCCTGGGAAGGAGGAGAAGGCACTTGGTTGCCCTGCAGCCTTGGTGCCAGCTGCAGTGAGACCCAGTCAGGAGGAGCAGTCCCGTTGGGTCCACGTTCTGTTCCCTGAGTTTCCTGTCTCCAGCCTCTGTGTGTGTTACGTGCTTGTTCTGAATGGGAAAGAACCATTTCCTGTCCTCCTCTTTGGTGTGTCCCCACTCCTCAGCTCCTCATGTTGCACGGTCACTGCCCCAGCCCAGGTCCCTCTTTCAGTGGTTTCCTACTAGAACTTGGATCACTTTCGGCTTCTCTAGAGGAGCTGGGGCTTTTTCGGCTTTTTAGGATCTCTCACCAGAAGCGTTCTGTGAACACATCACGTGCACTTTCTCATAAAATGTCAAGGTGCGCTCAGATCCCCCTGAATCCTGACAGTGGCCTCCAGCTCAGAATCCTGAGTCAAGGTCGCGACTGGCACGTGGCGGGAGCACCACGTGCAACAGGCTCAGTGTGGGGAAGAGGCCTTGGGTTCGTTCGTTCGTTCGTTTAGGGTGCAGAAACCAGAGATCTGTAATACCTGGGACTTTCCTCGTAGAAGCCAAAGGAATCACACGAAGAAATCAAAGAATGGATGAAGCAATTTAGAGAACAAGATGTAAAACCAAGTTACAAAGTGGTTTCTGGTAAACTCGGTGCTTAGCTACTACTAAGGAAGATGAGACCACAGTCCCTGCCTCCGGGGGGCAGGCACCCTCAGCTGAGCAAAGCATGATTGAAACAACGCCGCCTCTCAGGCCCAGCGTTTCCACTCCGTGGGACCTCCATTTGGTCATGGCTGTTCCCACAGTGCCGCAGGGTTTTCACGGGCCACGGTAGGGGAGTGGGGGTTGCTGGCGCACATTCGTCTCTATGTCCCAGCCCCATTTCTTCTTGGAACCGTGTGCCGTGTCACCCCTTCTTTCTTGGTCCCTCCTGCTCCCTGGCTCTCCCTCCTAAACTTCTCTGAGGTGCCAGGTTTATTGAAGTAAATGTAGACCAACTCATAAGGAGGACAAAATAGGATGAGGACACAGAAACTCCAGACGGGCACTGAGGGGTCAGAAGGGACACTCGTGGGGAGGCCAGGCCGGCAGGGAGCGGATGGGCATACAGGGAAGAAAGCAGAAGTCCCACAGTCAGCTGGACTGTTCCTTCAGGGGAGTGGTCTTAATGAATAGGTCATGGGTGTTTTGGGTTTCCTGTGTCTCTAACACATACAGTGATAGTGCCTGGACCACATGGGCTGGTTAGGAATGTCAAAGGAGAGACCACATGTGAAGCACTGGGTGTGCCCGACACATGCTTCATTCTTTTTTTTTTATGATTTATTTATTTATTTGAAAGTCAGTTACACAGTATAAGAAGGAGAG